CAAGGTATGTGTAGCTGTCAACTCTGTCAATTGGATGTTCGTTAACCAAAAGCTGTGTTAAATACACAATATTTCGCGCTTAATGACTACCATGTACTTTGTTTGCTTCGTATTAAGATCAAGTCCGTGTTCTCTACTTATATCTGATATACGCGACATTATTCTTTGCAAACCGTCCAGACTATCTGCAAAAACTACTGCGTCGTCGGCATATTTAATGTTGTTTAGACGCATTCCGTTGACTAATACGCCTTCTTGTAGTTCTCCCAGCGCTTGCTCGAAGATATATTCAGAGTATATATTAAATAACACCGGGGACAGAATGTAACCTTGCCTCACTCCTCTATCTATGGAGACTGCCTCTGTCAATTGGTCATCCACTTTAATATTGGCTGTTTGGTTGTAATATAAATTATATATGATTCTCAAGTCCCTATCATCTATATAACACGATACCGTAGTAGATTTGCGTCTAATACTGTATTAATAAATTACTCTAAGATAAGAGTCTATTGTAAAGTTGTCCATTGTTAGTTTTAAAATTTAAATATTATGTTATCGAAGATAACATAATATTTTTCCAAAATGCAGCTGAAATTTAAATAATCTGAAAAACATAAAAACAACAAATAAAGTTAATTAAAACCCTAAACAAATTTTCTCGAGGTCAGCATTATTGATTTAAGAGAGTCGATCAATGGAATTACCAGAAAACATAATATATTAGTTTCATGACGTAATTACGACAGATATAGAACCATTTATTATTGGTAAAACATCCGAAATTTGTGCCCTTGTTATTATCTTATTCAAACAATATTCCCCAGTGTCTATCTTCCAAAATGTTTTTAATTAAAAAAGATAGACAATTCTGTTATTATTTATGATATTAAATAAGTTGAAAAAATAAAAAAGGTTAACTACAGGTAAATATTAAATTACCATTAGATTAAATTTGAAAATTCAGGAGATAGTACCGATTTTTCAGCCTCGCAGCTAATTAATTCGTTAAAAATATTTTAAATAGGTTTTATGTTACCTATCAGAGCTACATCGTAGATGATTCAGATATTCCCGTTTCTTTTAGATGAAATTCTTCTTCTTCTTCGGCCTTCATTTATCTATTGTTGGACGTAGGCCTCCTCCAATTGCTTCCACGCTTCCCTATCTTTTGCAATTCTCATCCACTGTTTTCCAGCTACAGCTGTTATATCGTCTATCCATCTCTTTTTGGGTCTTCCTACGCTTCTTTTTGTTTCTCGAGGTCTCCAGAATGTCACTTTATGAGACCATCTGTTGGTGTCTTGTCTTGCTACCCATGTCTACTTGCTACTTGTCGTGCTACCCATTTGCCATCTTAATGTCGCTATTTTTCCCATGATGTCGGTTACTTTAGTTCTTCGACGTATTTCGGTGTTAGGAATTTTGTCTCTGAGGCTTATATTTAACATGGCCCTCTCCATGGCCCGTTGAGTTCCTCTTAATTGTTCTGCCATTTTTCTTGTTATTGCCATAGTTTCCAACACATAAGTTGCAACTGGTAGTATACAAGTGTCATAGGTTTTTCGTTTTAAGTGAATTGGGATTTTTTTTGTCTTTTAAAATAAAGCTTCTTTTAATTTCTAGGGTTTGGTTTTCCTTTTCGTTTTTAATTGCATGTCCTAGATATATATATATATATATATATATATATATATATATATATATATATATATAAACTAGAGCTAAGATTAATATTATTACTAAAATTAATATCAAACTCACCAGTCTTCCGGGTTGAACCGCGTCGTTGTCCATTTTGCCAAGCTTTCGGCATCCTCTCTGATGCCTTCCTCAGGGCTTCCGAGGTCTCAGTCTCCCTAGCCCCCAGACACTACTACACTGATCAATATTACTACAATACTACTGTCAATACTACAGTAGTGACAGTGCCGTGAATAGTGATCAGTGTAGTAGTGTCTGGGGGCTCGGGAGACTGAGACCTCGGAAGCCCTGAGGAAGGCATCAGAGAGGATGCCGAAAGCTTGGCAAAATGGACAACGACGCGGTTCAACCCGGAAGACTGGTGAGTTTGATATTAATTTTAGTAATAATATTAATCTTAGCTCTAGTTTTTATTGTACTAACCGCGGAAATCTTTCCGAACATTTCATATATATATATATATATATATATATATATATATATATATAATATATATATATATATATATATATATATATATATATATAGATATATATATATATATATATATATATATATATATATATATATATATTTCTATATTGATGTTTTCTAGGCTTAGTATCTTTGTCGAAATTAATTTTTATGATTTTTTTTATTTATTATTATTTATTTTTTTTATTTAATTTGTGATTTAAATCTTGTAGCATTGATCTCAGTTCATGGATATCTGTGCTTATTAGTATTATGTCGTCTGCAAAACGCAAATGTTTAAGATATACTCCATCTACTTTTAATCCCTTTTCGGCCCAATTTAGTTTTTTGAAAACATTTTCTAATGCCAAAGTAAATAATTTGGGTGAGATGGTGTCGCCCTGTCTCACACCTTTGCCAAGGTATATTTTCATAGTTTCCAGATCATCATCTATTTTTACGTGAAAAGTAGCATCATTGTATATATTCTTAAGGAGGGCAGCATATCTTGAATCTACTCTGGCGTCGTCCAATGCAGTTAGGAAAGCCCATTTCTCGATACTGTCGAATGCTTTGTGATAATCGACAAATGCTAGATGTAGTGGTATGTTGTACTCTATTATTTTTTCAATAATTGTCCGGATTGTTTGCAAGTGATCGATAGTGCTAAAACCCTTTCGAAAGCCTGCTTGCTCCACTGGTTGGTATGCGTCTAGTTTTGCTGTTAATCTATTTGTTATTATTCGGGTTAGTAGTTTGTATAGGTGTGACAATAAGCTTATTGGTCGGTAGTTTTCTATATTCGCGACGTCCCCTTTTACTTTAACTCATTTTTGACCAAATTGTGGCTTGTCCCCTTCTGGCTTCATATTTAAATTAGACATTCCACAAGAAACTAGTTTTAGAATCTTGCACAATAAATTTTACTTATGTTGTACTCTGAAAATTGTACTGAAAATAGACATTCTTATTTTTTTTTCGTTCGTAGAATTCTTAATTTTATTTCAACTATGTATTCTCTTTCAGATTCCATTAAATTGCACTTGCCATTCTCAATCACATTCACACATTATTCTACTTAATTAAATAATAATTAGATGAAGTATTTACAGCTGCTTAAACAGTTAATGTCTAAAAATAGTCTTTATTTATATGCACGAAACATAATTAGTTAATTGTTAGTTTAATTGAACTTTGTGGTTTATGAAAAGAACAGGATATCCGGATATGAGATTCAAGGAGAGTTATACAAAAATTGCAGCGATTCATTTGAATTATTAACCATTCATTACCTAGATTCGAGATTACGTTGTAATTGAAATCGGACAATTTCATATTGTATCTAAAAGAACGGTTTAAAAATAATTTACCCCGTTTGAATTTGTGAATAATAATAAAAATATATTAAATACAAGACAATCTAATATTATATACATATGTAGACAGCCAGTCATAATTTGTAAAAGTATAAATATTTTTATTATTTGCCAAGTTGACTGCCAAGCTAATTTAGTATTATTTGCTATTATGTATTTGTGAACCATATTGGTACACAGTACTATTTGCCAACGGCAAACTGCTGATGTAATCAATTGTTGTGTGTACCTGTACAAATGTACAAGCTTGATATTTTATATGAAAATTTTAATTAGTTGGCCTCCCATTGCAAAAAATACTAAGACCCAGAATAATATATCGATAAATCGAATATTTAAATAAAAATTCGATCGATTTCGGTCGAAAACCAATACGGTGTGGCTCCCAGGACAGATAAATTGATTTTCTCAAACAAGCTTATGGATATGATAGTGTGCACCATATTAGTACACATGGCAGTCAACCTGTTAAACAAACATATCTTCCAGCCTTCTGCGTCAAAAGTTGAACTTTTGCTTTAAGTGCCGTTTCCCAATCGGAGGTTGGATATCATCATCACTATCTTTACTTTATCTACTGCTGCTCTAAAGAGTTCTATAAAACTGCATTTAAACCAGTCGCTTAAATCCCTTAACCATGACACTCTCCTTCTTCCTATACTCCCTCCATCTCTTGTCTTTCCCTGTATTATCAGCCTTAGTAGTTCATATCACTATCCCCTCATTACGTGTCCCAGATATTGTAACTTTCTAATTTTTATTGTGTTTATTATTTCGCACTCTTTGTCCATTTCTCGCAATACTTCCGTGTTAGTTTTCTTCTGTGTCCATGCTTTTCTAAGCATCCTCCTGTAACACCACATTTCAAAGGACTGTAACCTATTTATGTGTTCTTGCTTCAAAGTCCAGCTTTCAAGTCGATATGGCAGTATCGAAAACACGTAGCATCTCAGTACTCTTACTTTCAGTTCTAATCTAAGATCATTGTTGCAGATAATTGTTTTAATTTTTACAAACACATTTCTTGCTATTTCTATCCTAGCTCTATTTTGGTTGTTTGATCATTATTGTCTAAAATCCAGGTTCCTAGGTATTTGTATTTATCAACCCTTTCTATCAGTACATATCCCAAATATATGTTTGTTGGTATATTTGTTTTCTTTGTGAATATAATGTATTTGGTTTTTTTTTTATATTCATTTTTAGTTCATACTTTTCACAGAAACTGTTTGCTTTGTTTAGCAGTTATTGGAGTTGTTCAGCAGAGCATGCCATAATCACGGTGTCATATGCATATCTTATGTTATTAGTACATCTTCCATGAATTATTATTCATTTACTTTGATATAGCAATGCTTCTTTAAAAATTTTGAATTTTCTTGATTATATTTTATAACGTACGTTAGAAAAAAACTCATAACAACACTAGTAAGTAATTCATCTAATAATGTATTCTTTTCTTTGCAGGATGGTTTGGAACAAGGCATACTGTCACCTTTATGCTATTTCTCGGTATGGCAAACGCTTACATCATGCGTACCAACATGTCAGTCGCTATCGTTGCTATGGTCAATCATACGGCCATAGGTGGGAGTTCCCACGACACTGCCATCTCTGTCGATGACGAATGCGGCATTGAAACAAATATTAATTCAACAACAACGGTAAGTGTTTATTTTAATTAAGGTTTATAGTATTTTTGTTCGAAAGCTTTATATGCTGGTAATATTGCAATCAATTGGCTTATTCTCAATGTTCCATTTATTCTTAATACCGATTTCAGAGTTATGGAGCCTTGTATAAGCTTGCTAAAGTTCAGTGGGCTGATAACATACCTTTTACAGTCACTTTTTAATCTCCAAAAAGTGTTTACCGCTTGCAATATGGTGCATCGTAGGAATACATAATATGGGAACCTTGTTCTAGGTCTTCCTCTTCTTCTCTGACCAATGGGTATATCAAGGAGCAATTTTCTACCTGGGTCATAGATAGATTTCTTGCCTTCAGTTTTTCTATTACCTGCAGCAGAACGAATATACCATCAGTGCACGATCTTCCTGTACGAAATTTATTTTTTTGTTGTATGTCTTCCTGTTTTGATTCTATTCTTTCTTTTATTATTCGACCGTACAACCTCCCCACAGGAATGTCTCAAGGTCCTGGAATAGGAACTTCTCTTTTAGCTCTGTTATCTTTACTCACTCCACTTCCATCATCATCATTTAACCCAGATCTCTCCACAGCTGGATATAGGTCTCCCTCAATCTTTTCCATGTATTTCTGTTTTGTGTTGTGTGCATCCAATTTTTGTCGATCCGTTTTATGTCATCAGACCATCTTGTTGGTAGACGACCTCTACTTCGATGTGCTTCTTGTCGCGGTCTCCACTGTATTATTCGCTGTGCCTATCTGTTATCCGACATTCTAGCGATGTGCCCAGCCCAGTTGTACTTAAGGGTCATAATTCTTTCTATGGCACCTGTCACTCCTGTTCTCCGTCTTATTTCCTTGTTCGTGATCCGATCCCTACGAGAAATGCCTAACATCGATTGTTCCATGGCTCTTTGTCCTAAGTATTTATAACAGGTGGTTTCTTCAATATGCATGCCATTTACTGAAATCTTTTCGCTTAACACAAGATTTGTCATGATTTGTGTTTTTGTGTGGTTGATTTTTAATCCAACTTGTAGGGAGGCTAGGTGTAGTTTCTCCAGTTGCGATACTGCATCATCGATTCTGTCAGCAAAAATGACAATATCGTCAGCAAACCTCAAATGACTAAGCATTTCTCCATTGACATTAATTCCTTTTTCACTCAGATTTTCGTTCTTAAACATATGCTCTATTCTTAAACATATATCATTGTTGTTCGTTCATTCTTTAAATTGAACAGAATTTTAGCTCTGTATCTTTCCACTGTACTTTAATCTCTTTATCACTCCACTGTAGATATGTATATATTCTCATATCTTTTTATTTCGTTTTCCCTTGTTCTTGATCTCGGCGAGAATACAAATATATATTTTTCTTTTCTAAATATATATTTCATGTAGCCAATATAATTTTTCTTTTCCGTTGCATTAGTCGTCTTTGTTTTAATCCATCCTTTGTATTCCAAGGGTTTTGGTCGAAATTTTTAACATTTTTTTTTTTTTTTGAAAAGGGATGAGTTGCTAGCCCATCGCCTTAACCCTTCTTCTTTACCCGGACTTGGGACCGGCATTGGTATTTACTTTACGGTAGTTACTCAATGCACTCATCACTTACCTTGGGCGGATAGGGTAGCAGTCTGGTATTATGGTAGGAAACCAACTCGACACACGTTATATATGTAGAAACTTAGCCTAAGCCTAAGAGAAAGAGAAAGAATGAAAGATATGTTGAGCTTTTAAAAAGTTGTAATATGTATTCTATTTATGTTTTAGGTCAAAACTGAAGTCGAAGGAGAATACCTATGGCCAACTGACGTTCAAGGATATATCCTTAGCTCATTTTTCTATGGCTATGTTCTTACCCAAATTCCTTTCGGAATATTAGCTAAACGTTATGGAAACATTTACTTCTTAGGCATTGGAATGCTGATCAACTCATTATTCGGACTCCTCGTACCAATATCGGCCAAGATGGGCATTTGGTGGCTTATCGCGGTTAGATTTATTCAGGGCTTGGGGGAGGTGAGTAAGCATTTTGAAGAAGTACAGAGTGGGGAAAATATTTTTGTCATAACTGAACACGTGATATAATTTTTTTCTATTTATAAGAACAATATTATTATTGATTGGTGTTACAGATAATACAGAAATTAATTAATTAATTCATCCATTAATTAATTAATATGAAGGCATCATATTATATTATCTTAATTTTAGTTAGCTGGGTTGTTATATATGTTTATATATAATATATGTTTTTTTTCAATATACTGCAAAGTGTAAAATTATTTATTTATTACTTTGACGTTTTTAATTATAAATCGAAGATCTTTTCCAAAATACACCTGTCAAAATATAATCAATTTAAAAATCAAAATGGAAGCGCCAAATAACAATGATTTAATTTTACACTTTGAATATTTTTAAAAATTATGCATGTTTTTAGATGTAATTTTCTTTTCGAACATCTTGAGTTCTACCTACAGCAGTTAAATTTTAAGCATTTAATACACTACCTAAATCATCAAGTCAAATGTTTTGTAAAAATCGACACTTATCACAAAAAAAAACATATCATTTTCCCAAATGTTTAAAACATTTTTATTAGTTTCTTTATAGAACTGACTGAAACTGACCCTTTTAGTCAAGAAACGGTTGACTGCGGAGCAGTATTCCTCCAATAGTTAAGTCAAGCCAGACAGGAAAAGTGGACTGAGACCCTGGAAACAATGGACAAGGCACATAGTAGCAAAATAGCATGGAACCTTGTAAAAAAACTTAGCGGTGGTCCAAAAGAACATAAACCACCTTTCAAGGTTACAGCAAACCAAGTCGCTGCTCAACTCCTTACGAATGGAAGAACTACGAACCGATATAAGGCCCAAACACTAGAAGAAGATTGGATTCGGAGACAAACCACCTAGGAACTTCTTTTACACTAAAAAAACTCCACGACGGTATGAACAGGATATAAAATGGGAAAGCTGGAATTTCAACACCAATGTGAAATGGTTTAGTGACAATATCGATAGAATACGTATTAGTTGGAGTCTCGGACATATTCCGTGGACAGACTGAATCATTATTTATTATCAATTGTATATAAACTCTTTTAAAAGAGCGATAATCATAAACTTTTTACGCGAAACTTGACTATTGCACCTTGATTAATAATAAAAACTACCTAAAATATAATACATATTAAAAACTATTTTTTTGCTTAGTGACAAAAATATTCAACCCCTCACTCTTGTACTCTGCATTTTATTTGATGTGTACCTTTCTGGTCAGGGCCCTATTGTCCCATGCACACACTCGCTCCTGGCAAAATGGATCCCTCCAAACGAGAGAAGTCGAATGGGAGCTTTCGTATATGCAGGTATAAACATTTATCTGAAAATCGACATACATCAAAAACATAGTTCAGTAGTATAAAATGCATATTGCAAAAAGTGTACAGCATTACCTATTTTTGTTTTGTTTGTTGTGTACCCTATGTTACAGTACATTATGTTAAATAAAATAACATTACCAATACGTATATGATAATAGTGACAGTATATGAAAAAAAATGCATCTAGTGACTCATTATCTATATGCATTATTAGTAGTTTCAGTTACTCATTATTAATATTTAAACTATAATGTAATGAATAATAGTTATTTATTGTACAAGACGATAAAATTGTACTTTATCTTCGAGAGCGTTTTTTAGCGTCGAGACGTCAGTCGAGACGCTTATATATGCTTGAGAAGATAATGCGATTTTATCGTCGTGTGCAATACAACATTTTTTTCTATAGCAAGACTTCAAGTTCAGGTGAAAAATAGAATTTCAAAGAAAATTGTAATTTTTAGCACAAAAATCGCAATTGTGTTGCTTCGTTGCTAGGAATATAAATTGACAAGAAAAGCAAACAGTCCTAGACATCACTGAGGTTTTAGCATTCAACATCTGATGGAGCATCTTGGAGGCTGTCAAGATGGAGTTACTATTCGAATTAGGGATGAAAGGCTTGTCTGGATTGTGATGTTCTTTCCAGAGTGAGTGTGTGTGTTTTTTGAGCTAGATGCGACAGAGTCGGGTCTTTAGTGACTATTGTTTTTATGTCATTTTCGGGTTGTACTCGGCCCCAAAACCAATGTATTGCACTGTAATTTTGTGGTCGAGCGTGCTCGAAAATTGAGGCCCTCAGCTTTCGAGAGTCGACTTGCCGCATTTTGCCTAGTGTGAATGTGTGTGTATGTTTAACCCAACAGTGATGGACACTACCATTTCGATGTTACTTGGCTCCGTCGAATCACCTAGATTTTCCCCGTCCGACCACAGAGCCCGTGTTAAGTAGCGGGGGCTGCAGTCGGTCGGGGGTCCCGATGATGAGGATGCTTCGGTAGTAGAAAGTTAACCCCTGTCACTGTTGGATTAGTGTGAGTGTGATTTGTGTGAATGTGTGTTAAATGTTTGCGAATCTGAGCCGACAGAGGCTAAAACCGTGCTCTCTAGTGACCATTGTTCCTGCAAGCCGTTTTTGCGATTGTGATCAACTTCAGAACTAGTGTATTGCACTATAATTCTGTCACTGATCGCTCTCTCTAACGGCCAGGCCTCGTCGGAGTTCCAGGACTTGTTTTACTTTTTCAGATATTTTTTAAAAGTTTTATATTATTACAATTGTTGCTGTACGCTTTTGAATTAAATGTATTTTATTTGCTTTTTCATCTCTATCGAAATTTAAAAACCGTCAAGATTTATGCTTTTGTAATTCATTATTATTGGAAAAATAACAAACCATTTAGATATGTGGTAAGTAACTTTGCATTTAACAGTACTATAAATACCATAAAATCTTTATTCATTGTAAGAAACACTGCAAGTTTCTATTTATATTACCTACCTATGTCATTCCAGATATGCCATCTCATGCATTTAGACAAATATTGGTATTGTTACGTCTTTATTAATTCTAATTTATTTACTTTATTCCCCTTATTTTAATTCACTAAAACACAATCATTTATATCAGTTTATTAAACCACTATACAACAATTTATTTTCGACTAATAATTACATAATTTATTTATACGAGCGTTACCGTTAAAAAACCCGGCGCGAAATTATCTTATGACTGAATTCACAATGAAAGCTACGTTATATTTATACGAAAACATCTGTTAGAATGGAATATCGTCGAAGGTTCGATGACCTTCTCGTCTCGGCTAGTGTAGAAGGAAAATACCACAACAGACAGACCGGCGAATGATCTCAAACTGGTTTTTATAGCGGCCTGTTTCCAGAATGTTCGATTGTTGTTTTAATATCGGAGGGGGACCCATCGGGTCAGGTAGGTATTCCCTGGAATTTCTACCATCAGGTAAAATCTAGAACATATAAGAATTAAAATATTTACGAGACATATTTATCGTAACAGTATAATAATTTCCATTTTTCTGTGTCAATTAGTTCAATTTTGAAATACTTTGGTTTAACCCTGCAGTGCATGGGTTGGGTCTGTCGGAATCGTTTCTCATATATCGATTCGGTCAGCGAGTCTAAGTACGGTCCTGGCGGTCTAGGTACCTTTCGACGGCATGGCCAGATATAATTTTTCATTTACTAATGCGTATTGAAGCGATAGTGTCGATGTTATATCTGTTTTTGTTCTCTAAGATCTAACCCGTTCCTTAATGTAAGTATTTTTTTTTATTAAAGTACAAAACAAAATTTGCAGTGCATTGTTTTTCTTCTTCTTCTTAGAGTGCCATATCCCTACGGACCGTCGGCCACTACCATGCTTATAATATTGTTATACTGATCTCGGTCTTGCGCTACGTGTAGCAATTGGACCGCTGTCAAACCTGTCCACTGCCGCAAATTCCTCAACCAAGAGAGTTTCTTCCGTCCTATCCATTTCTTTCCTTCGATTTTACCGTTGAGAATTAACCGAAGGAACTTATATCTTGGTTCTCTGATTATATGTCCAAGATATTCTAGTTTACGCCTCTTAATAATATTTAATAGAGTTCGTTGATGTCCCATTCTTCGAAGAACTTCTTCGTTTCTGGTTCTGCTAGTCCATGGAATTTTTAGTATCCTTCGATACAACCACATCTCAAACGCCTCGATTTTATTCATGACATCGGCGTTTAAAGTCTAAGTTTCACATCCATACAAAAGTACAGACCACACGTAACATCTTGTAAACTTTTCACGGATTTCCAAATTTAATGAGTTATTGGATAATAGAGGCTTGAATTTTTGAAACGAGCTTCTTTCCTGTTCAATTCTACATCGAATTTCGAAGGATGGATCTAGATTTTGGGTAATCCAACATCCAAGGTATTTGAATCTCTGAACTCTCTGCAGCAGTTGTTGGTTTAATATCAGTTGGGTTGCGCCGATATCCACTTTACTGGTCACTGGTATTTAGTTTTATCGATATTTATCGACAGTCCCCAATTTGTGCATTCCATGTCAACTCTATTGATTATCTCCTGCAGATCGTCGATGTTTTCAGCTAGAATCACAGTATCGTCGGCGTACCGTATATTGTTAATTATTTCTCCTCCTATGATAATTCCTTTTTAATCTTTTAAAGCTTCCCTAAACAGATTCTTAGAATACACGTTAAAGAGGGTGGGAGATAGTATACAGCCTTGTCTTACGCCTCGTTCAATACTGATTGGTTTTGATTCTCTGTTGTTGGTATTAATAATGGCTGTTTGGTTCCAGTAAAGTTTGGCAATAAGTTTGATGTCTTTCTCATCTAGCTGGATGTTCTGAAAGGCGGTAATTAGTCTGTTATGCTGAACGCGATCAAATGCCTTTTCAAAATCAATGAACACATATATACGGGTTTTCTTACCTCCCAACATCGTTAAAGGAGTGTTTGTATAGAAAATAGTGCTTCTCTAGTTCCAAGGCATCTCCGGAACCCGAACTGCTCTTGACTAAATAATTTCTTCGCACTTGTTGTTAATTCGGTTTAGAAGAATGTGCAAGAGTATTTTAATGGCATGGCTCATTAAACTATGAGTCTACAATCGCTACATTTCTTAACGTTTGGGTTCTTAGGTAGAGGAATAAAGATCGATTTTAACCAGTCCGATGGAATTTCACTGGTATCATATATTTGATTGAAAAGTACAGTGAGTTCTTTTATATTGTCATTTGAGAGTAATTTTAGCCATTCGCTGTATATTTGATCTGGTCCACTGGCTTTGTTGTTTTTGGCTTGGTGTATGGCTTTTTCCACTTCAGCTTTTAAGATTGATGGTCCTGTATTTGCCCTTAGGTAGTGATCCTCGATCATCCTTAAATAATGCTTTAATGTAGTTTTTAGAGCTTAGCAAAACAATGTATTCTTACGAGGGGAGGTAAAACGAGGAAGAAAATTATGAAGATTCAGATTCCGATGAGTTTATTGTTGTAGAATTAGAAAATGAAGATCATCAGGAGGTAATCATAACTGAGTCTGAATTTAATTTATCAGACACCGAACTAAACTTACAAGAATGTATTCCACAAGGTGGGTCAAACCAACATCTTTATTACCATACCAAAGATGAAATGAAATGGAATAAGACATGCGGATCACGAAATGTTAGAACTAGACGAGAAAATATCAGCACAAAACTTCCTGGAGTTATTCGTGAAGCGAAAAGTTGCACAACTGAAAAGAAATGCTGGAAACTGTTTTTAATAACAAAATTGTAAAACATATTGTCGAATGTACTAATGTATATATCGAGCGTGTGTCTGTGAGATATAAAGACAGTTTCGATGCGAGGTTAACAAATATATGTGATGTGAACTAAAAGCTCTGATTGGCCTGTTTTACTTAGCTGGAGTTTACCGTGGAGGTAGAACTTCAATTTTTTCAGTTATGGGAAAAAATGGTACCGGTATTGACATATTTCCGGCAACGATGGCTCTCCGCAGATTAAGATTTCTTATGAAGTGCTTACGCCTAGATGATATTCGTACAAGGGACGAATGGAAATATAAACGGATATATATATATATATATATATATATATATATATATATATATATATATATATATACGAAATAACAAGAAGTCGAGAGACCTCTCTGATAGTAAATTAGGTGAACCGCAAATTCAAAGCCTCTTGATAGAGGCTTTTAACCACGCTAGAAGTATCCTTTTACTTCGACATGCATCTACGATTCACCTTTGAAAATTACCATCTTTTTCGCTCTTTACGTAGAAAAAGACGTTTAAATGAAAGTAAAAGTTTGCATTTAATTTCAATCGGAACTGCACCATTGCCCTACACAGTTCCGATTGAAATGAAATGCAATTTTTTACTTTCATATATATATATATATATATATATATATATATATATATATATATATATATATATATATATATATATATATTTAAGAGTTATTCATATACTAACAAATGTCGATGTGTGTTACTTGGCTAATCTTAATATTACAAATAGCTCATTCATCACATCTTCCTTTACAGCTCTATTTTCTAATTGATTTGTATTATGTAGTTAAATTTTGATGACAAACATACTCATTTGTATAAAATATCATTTTACTATTCATTATATTTTTAAAATAAATGCCATCGAAATTCATGATTTATTAAATATTCTCAAATACGGAACATATTGATATTTTAATGGCAGTTCAATCACTAGTTGGTATGTAAGAGATATTTGTTGCCTTATAATATGTAGTGTGAAGTTTTATATACCCATGAAATTCGAAGAGGTTAACATGTACGTACATATAGTACATACGTAAGCAAGAAGTGGCTGGTCATCTGTGAGTTAATAGAAAAGAAAGTTTTACAAGAGATATAAAATAGTCTTATTTTTATGCTTGTTCCAAATGCAATGTTATCAATTCAAGAATTAAGTTATAATATAAATATTATGAAAACAATGTATATTAAATATTATTATTATTTTAGACAATGTTTACGCAAAGATTATAGATTATTTTAAATTTAAATTTGTAGAATACAAAAGAAAGAGAAAGTTAAAACAAAAACTATTCTTCTACTACTACTAACTCAGCCATTTTCCGACTTCCAATCGCCACTCAATCCGGTTGTTACATAGGTCTTGTTCTATGGCCCTCTCTCAGTTCTTTCTTTATTCCTTCGCTAAAACTTTTTCTCGGTCTACCTCGTTTTCTCTTTTCTTCTGGTTACCATTTTATTATTTCTTTTGGTATTCGTGTCTTAGTGTCTTAACCCCCAACCTGGAGGACCAGGGGTTTGGATTCAGAGTCGCCCTCTCCTAGACAGATTGCGGTATCTACCGCTAACGAGTTTCGTCCATCTTTTTAATTTTATACGAACCCTAAAAGCAACTGCATATGTCGTTCTGATGAGACCTTCTTTTTCTTCTTTAGGTATCATCTCCTCTAAGGAGGTTGGTAATCATCACAGCTATTTTCACTTTTGAGATTGCAGCTCTGAACAAGTCGACGGAACTGCAATTATACCACTTTCTCAGATTGTTGAGCCAGGAGATGCGTCTTCTTCCAATACTTCGTTTTCCCTGTATTTTTCCCTGGATTATGGTTTGTAGCAACACATATTTATCCCCTCTCATAACGTGGCCGAGATACTGTAACTGTCTTATCTTAATCGTATTCATGATTTCCATTTCCTTTGTCATCTTTCTGAGGACCTCAGCAGTTGTTATTTGATTTACCCAACTTAATTTTAATATTCTTCGGTAGGTCCACATCTCGAATGCTTCAAGTCGATCGCTCACCTCTTTCTTTAAGTTCCAGGCCTCCACCCCATACAGCAGCACCGAAAACACATAAGAACGTAATATTTTTATTTTGAGTTGTAAACTAAGATCTCTACTGCATAATAATTTTCTCATCTTATTAAATGTTGCTCTAGCTTGTCCAATTCTCATTTTTATTTCTTCTGTATACTCGTTATTTTCATTAATAATTGTACCAAGATATCTGTATTTTTTTACTTTTTCTATTGGAACTCCTCTTATGTTTAAACTGATTTGTTGTTGTTTTGGAAATTGTCATAAATTTTGTTTTATTAGCATTAAGCGTTAGTCCGCTTTCCTCACTAGCATTGACTACATTATCTAAAAGTGTCTGTAGATCTTGTATATTCTCTGCAATTAGTATATATCATCGGCATATCTGATATTGTTGATGGATCTGCCGTTGACTTTTATTCCAATTGTTACATTTTCTAGTGATTTTTTAATTATTTCTTCCGAATATAGATTGAACAATAAGGGGGAGAGTATGCAACCTTGCCTTGCGCCTCTTTTTATATCTACTTCCTCCGAAAGTTCTCTGTCGACTCTGACTTTTGCTGTTTGGTTAAAGTAGAGATGAGTTATTATTCTTAAGTCTTTTTTGTCAATGTGTTTCTCTTTAAGTAACTGTATAAGACGGTTGTGTCGGACCTTATCGAACGCCTTATTATAATCAATAAAACAAACATAGAGTGGTTGGTTTACATCCATACATCTTTGCATGAGGCCGTTAAATCCAAATAATGCCTCTCGATTACCCACGGCATTCCTAAATCCAAATTGGGTTTCAGTGATGTCTTGTTCCACTTTTCTGAAAATTATTAAATGGATAATTTTTAAGAATATTTTTAGTGTGTGACTCATTAGACTAATTATACGGTGATCATTACATTCCCTTGCATTAGGTTTTTTTGGTAATGTAATCAATGTTGATTTGAGCCAATCTCTCGGAATAATAACCCGTATTATATATAGTATTATATAAGTCTACTAATACATTGATCTGGTCTTCTGATATTAATTTAATTATTTCAGTTGGAATTGTGTCCTGAGTGTGATGAGACCTAAAGAGGTTTAAATACGTATAAGCGGCTTGCAGATGCCCTTGTAACGATGAGTCCAAGCCATCACCGTTAAACCAGCGTGCGCGCGAACCAACCCATGAAGTAGGAGTATATTGACAGTAGAAAGGGCAAAACTAATTACCAAGCTCCGCTGTATAAACCGCAACATTTCCTCATAGAGGAGAATCGACAGGTGTTGACTGAAGGTTCTCTTCTTCCCTACCCCGGCTTGTGGACGTGTTGAGTTCACAAGTCGTTCCGTCTCATACCGCCGTTACCCGAAGAGAGTGTTGATCTCTTCACTACCCATTCTCTGAAGCAGTCGTGTTGAGACTGTCGAGGAGTGTCCTGTTAACCCGAATCACTTAAGGGACGTGTTGAGTTCCTTTCCTTTCTTTGTACCTATCGTCCGCTGTTCCCCGTAAAATTTCAAATACATATTCGCTTGCCGATAAAACTAATTTCATATGACAAGGTCAAACTTAATTTGAATAAATAGGCCAGGTACTGAGAAGTCTAAACCAAATTGTAAATATGTACATAAGATTTTTGTCAATTTAATTTAAGGAAGACAATAAAGTTTTATTTTTGTTTTGAACTCTGTCTCTGACTGTCTAAAAGCTACCCGGATACTGACTCCTACGAGAGGACATCACAAATGGCGCCCGAGCAGGGACGATTTCGATTGCGGGCGCCTTGCAATCGAAATTAAATCTTATTCCGTCTTTCTGTTTTAAGCATAAATTCTTTCTTGTAGTGGTGACTACCGTTGTTGATCATAATTTAAGTAAAAATTTTAAAATGGATCATCCAAGTTTTTATATTATTCATTAACAAAATACAGTGCTTTTCAGATAAAACTATCCACCTTAAATAACTTTTGAACCTCTAATTTTTTGGAAAAACGCAAAAACACGTCAATTAATATTTGACGGGGCAGACATTATATCATATTTAAGGTTGCTGGGAAATGCACCCTTTTACCCCCTGTATCAACCCTTTATGTTTTTTAAATTACTTCCCCTTTTTTTATTTTATATTTGGATTCTCCTTTTTGTGTTGATTTCAAAAATGTATAATACCTTTGGCTTGAAGTAATTAGTTTATGAGATAGACAATTTTCCTGTTAACAAGGATAGTATCTCCCTCACCTTAAATGACTGTAACAAAATAGGTTGTAGCATAATTTTAACTTTTTAAATATTTAACCTTACTATTTGTAGTACCTTCAAAAACCAAGAAATAAAAAATTCACTTTTTATTAAAGTTTTATCAAAGGTTAAGGATAACTTTTCCGAAGATTTGGTTGTATTTCAACATGATGGAGCTTCTCCACACTTTGCTTTACCTGTCTGATAATTTTTAAACGAAACGTTTCTTGTCCTTGGATAGGGTAAAGTCGATAGATGATCGATTAACCACCTAGGTCACCGGATTGAACACCCCTAGACTTCTTCTATCAAGGGTATTTAAAAACAAAAATTTATGCTACTCAACCAGAATCTCTAGATGATATACGACAAAGAATAGAGGATGAATGTCGACACTTAAATGCAGATGTGTTGAGCAATGTCAGAGAAGAATTTCAAAATATATTATACTATTGTATGGAAGTGAAGGGCAGTCATTTTGAACAATTATTGTAAAAATTTTTAGCAGTGAAATGTTCATTCTAAATGTGTGTAATAAAATTGTTAAAAAATAATTTTTTTTTCAATCCAATTTTCTTGCTTTTGTATCTATTTTTCTCATAAAGTAATCACTTCAGCATATGTATTATACATTTCTGAAATCAGTACAAAGAGGAGAATCCAAATATTGAATAAAAAAAGGGAGAAGTAATTTAAAAAAAATGAAGGGATGGTACGAGGGGTGAAAGGGTGCATTTCCCAGCAACCTTAAATATGATATATTGTCTCCCCCTTCAAATATTAATTGACGTGTTTTTGCGTTTTTCCTAAAATTTAGTAGTTCAAAAGTTATTTAAGGTGGATATTTTTATCTGAAAAGCACTGTATACAAATTGTGAAATAAAACTGCAGCCATTAGAGATAAAGTTAAAAATATGTGTACACCTTTATAATTATTATAAATTATACTTCCACTGCATATGTTTATTTTAATATATTTTATTGTTACGACAAGCTATTTATCTCTCCGGTAAACAAAAAAGATGTTCGGTGAACCAAAAATGGCAAAAAAAATTATTTGTATTTTTTTTTAAGTTTTAATGTACGTTACCAACTAGTGTTTGAAGTGTAATTGGGAAATAAAACAATAAATGTCGTTTATTTTTTTAGGCGCACAATTTGGAACTGTAATATCTATGCCTCTTAGTGGACTCCTGTCAGAATGCAGATTCGGTTGGCCTTCCATCTTTTACGTTTTTGGTACTATTGGAACCATCTGGTGTATATTCTTTCTTCTTATGGTGCATGAAGATCCACAAAGCAACCCAAAAATGAATGTTGAAGAGAGACTTTATATACAAAAAGAGTTAGGAAGTAAAGTTGGATTACCGGTAGGTGCATGGTACTTTGGTCTATGTTGCCAATATTGCTTTAACACTGATTTTCAAAGGGGCTATTATATTATAACTTCTTATTATTATTTAAGAGACCAAGTTACAATTAAATATTATTTAGGGAATGTTATTTAAAGATAATATGATTTGATTTGGCGTCATCTAACGAGTAAAATATCGTAATCTCCTTAAAACTGCAAAGCAGCTATTACATGAAATATTGCCCCTCTTGGCAAAGTTAACAAATATCACTGACTATAAGATTAATAGTATATTCTTCTTCTTCTTCATGTACCATGTCCTTTCAGAACGTTGGTTACAATACATTTGTACTCTTCCCTTGCAACGATTGATTTAAATCATTCAGTTTTTCAAAAATGTCCGAAAGATACCAACTGTTGCCAGCCAATTTTCATTTAAGAAATATTCCGCTACCTTTGGTTCCCGTTCAAGTAGAAATATCTTTACGATCAAATACACGTTGGAGTATTTTTCCTCGCGATAACCACCTCCGCATGTAACAGTAGATTTTCGTATTCTGATCCCAGTTCGCGACACATTATTTTGAAAAGGCGACTGTTTAATGCACGAGCTTTAATAAAATTTATTATTGTTACGACTTGTACCAACACTTTATTTACATCTGGTTGCAAATGTTTTGCTGCAAGGGCTTCACGGTGCCTTGACAGTGAATAAAGTCTACGTGAGGTGCAATCTCAGTTACTTTTGCTTTGAATCCTGTTCGGGAGCCGGTCATTGCAGCTGCGCCGTCTGTACAAACAGATACACACTATTGCCACTTTATATCATGGATTTCAAAAAAAGTATTCTTCTTCTTCTTCAAGTTCCACTCCTATCGGAGATTGGAAATCATTCTGGCAATTATAATTTTATTGGTTACTCGCCTGAATAGTTCAATTGAACTGCATCCAAACCACTCACGGAGATTGCGTAGCCACGAGATTTTACGTCTTCCTACGCTTCTTCTACCTTTGATTTTACCCTGCATTATATTCCTTAGTAGTTCGTACTTTTCACCTCTCATGATGTGCCCCAAGTTTTCCAATTTCCTGATCTTTATGGAATTTAAAACTTCGCATTGTTTTCCTAGTTGTTCGAGAACTTGTTCGTTTGTTTTGCGATCCATCCATGATATTTTCAAAATGCGTCGGTAACACCACATTTCGAATGCTTCTAGGTTTTTAATGTTGGATTTTTTAAGTGTCCAAGCTTCCACTCCATACAAAAGGGTTAGAGAAAATATAACATCGAAGCATTCTTATCCGGAGCGATATATTGATATCGCGATTACAAAAAAGTTTTCTCATTCTATTAAAAGTTGACCGCGCAATTTCAATGCGGCATCTTATTTCTTTTGTCTGATCAGTATCTTCTGTGATCCATGCTCCAAGGTATTTGTACGAAGATATTTGTTCAATTTCTGTATTATCTAGTACTAGCTTAACTTTGATGTTTTGTGCTTTTGTAAATACCATGAACTTGGTTTTCTTCAAATTGATTTTTAGTCCATAATCGTTGCAATATATATTTAGTTGTTCAGCAAGGTGTTGCAGTTCTTCTAGTGTTCCTGCCAAAAGGACGGTGTCGTCAGCATATCTTATGTTACTAAGTGGCTCACCGTTTATTATAAGGCCCTCACTGATCTCGGCAAGCGCTAATTCTGAGATGGCTTCACTGTTATAAATTGAATAACAAGGGTGATAAAATACGCCCTTGGCGGACCCACGGCGAATCTGGATATCCTTGGTCACAAAAAAAGTATTAACTGCATTAAAAATTGCTTTATCTGTTGTTCTTCCTTCTAATCCTTGACAAAATAACAAATCTTCTCATATGTCGTTTTCATATCGGTATCGGATAAATATCAGAAGTTGAGCTACAATAGCTACATCAGTACTTTTATCCAGCTGATTAGCATAATAGAGACTCCCTTTCACGCGATCTATAAGTTGTATTTGGATCTCATCAGCAAGTAGATTGATACGACGATGAACAGTGTCACTTGATAGTGGAATTGCTTTCAGTATATTGGCACACTTTTCTCCTTGCATGATCGAAACCATTTTCATTGCAGCTGGCAAAATGAGTAGCAGGTACACCTATTTTGGTATACGGAGATTCCATATTTGATTTTTACAATGTTGCCAGATTTGCCGTTTTTCTTATATTATTAGTAACTTTGGTTTTTCAAATACATCACCCTGTATATTCAGTCATTATTGGAATCTCCTATTCAATACGAGTTCAACCATATGTAACACTTATGATTTTATGTAATCTGGAAGGTCATAAATACATAAAACCGAAGTCTATCAATGCCTAAATTGTTTCAATAAATTTTTTAATACTAACTATTTTCAAATACATTAAAACGTAACAATTGATAGTTTAGAACATTTTTTAACATAGTAGTTACATTATTAAGTGTTCAAAATGTGCTCAATTTGTGAGTTGGCAGCACCCTAATCGATGGTAGAAGGCGTCTACTACATTTTTCCATGATTGTCTAGAAATTATTCGAGATTCATTGATAATTCGTTGCCTTAGCTCTGCAAGACTTGCTGGTTAAGTTTTGTAAACTGAATTTTTCAAGTATCCCTAATAAAAATAATCTTTAGGATTGAAATCGGGTAAACGTGGAGGCCATTCAATTGTACCTTGTCTACCAATTTATCGTCCAGGAAATATCTCATCCAAATATCGCCGAACATTTACACCAACTATCTGACGTTAAATTTCTTTCGACAAAAAATGACCCAATTGAATAAGTAACTAGGTACTATATCTGACCATGCATTTAATTTTTGTGGTCTTTGAGTATGGTTTTCACGCATTCAGTCTTCACTGTGAATTTACGTCACACCAGTACCTTAAATTGTGTCGATTTACACTTCCAAAAGTTGCTTCATCGGAAAAACATATTCTGTTAACGAAATTTTAATAATTTTCCATTTTATCCATCATTACCTCAGTAAACTCTAATCTACGACCAAAGTCATGTTTACTTAATTCTTGCAATAAGTTAATTTTGTATCATTTAAATTTATTTTTACGTAATAAACGTAAGACTGAAGAATGACCTACATCATGTACTTGTGCAACCCTGCCTGGGGATGTATGTGGATCTCCAACAAAACTTTGCTTATATCTGAAGTTTTGTTGTCATTGATAATTCGTTTCGGTCAACCTGATCGGTATCTTTTTTTTACTTCTCCAGATTCCTCAAATCGCCTTACAGTTTTTTGTACCGTCGTCTTATGAATAGGAGAACTGTTTAGCGAACGCCATTTTAGAGAAGCAATTTAAATTGCAGAACTTTTTGAAACACAACTACTGTCAATTTTAGTTCATAATTTAAATGGTGAACAAATGTCAAAATCACAGCATTCTCCATTTAAATATTTAAGTTTATTAAAATCACATATTTTGCACTGTTTTATGTATTTAAGACCTTTCAGACTACATAAAATCAAGTGAACATATGGTTGAACTCGTATTGAATAGCTGAACTCGTGTGAAATTCACACTGAATGCGTGAAAACCATACTCAAAGACCACAAAAATTAAATGTATGGTCAGTTATAGTAGGTACTTATTTAATTGGGCCATTTTTTATCGAAAGAAATTTAACGTCAGAGAGTTGGTGTAAATGTTCGGCGTTATTTAGATGAGATATTTCCCGGACGATAAATTGGTAGACAAGGTAGAATTGAATGGCCTCCACGTTCACCCGATCTCAATCCTAAAGATTATTTTTATTAGAGATATTGGAAAAAATCAGTTTACAAAACTTAATCAGTAAGTCTTGCATAGCTAAGGCAATGAATTATCGATGAATCTCGAATAATTTCTAGACAATCATGGAGAAATGTGGTAGACGCATTCTACCATCGATTAGAGTGCTGTCAACGCACAAATGGAGCACATTTTGAACACTTAATAACGTAACTATTATGTTAAAAAATTATGTTACGTTTTAATGTATTTGAAAATAGTTCGTAATAAAAAATGTATTGAAACAATTTAGGCGTTGCCAGACTTCTGTTTTATGTATTTAAGACCTTTCAGACTACATAAAATCATAAGTGTTACATATGGTTGAACTCGTATTTAATAGGAGATTCCAATAATGACTGAATATACAGGGTGATGCATTTAAAAAACCAAAGTTACTAGTAATATAAGAGAAACTGAAAATCTGGCAATATTGCAAATACCAAATATGGAATCTCCGTATCCTAAAATAGGTGTATCTCAAATTTTGTATAATTATGTCTAGTAATTTATGAATTAGCCGTTTCCAGACTTTTGGGCCACTCTGTATATCATAGAAATTTTAACAAAACTCCGGTAATATTTATGGATTCCAGTTTAATCCACTTTCTGAGTACAAATGAGTACTTACAATAATTTATATTGGTTGTAAATGTTTTGCGCCATACTCAAATTTAATTTAACGTAAATTTTGTTTGTTTTTAGATTCCACCAATTCCATGGATGTCTATTCTCACATCTATGCCATTCTATGCTATCCTTCTGGCTCACATGGGTCACAATTACGGGTACGAAACGCTTATGACAGAGCTTCCAACATATATGAAACAAATACATCATTTTAGTATTAAAGATGTAAGTATAGTATGTTTATTTCGATATTTTCTTCCGATTTATACGCAAATTAACCATCTTTTTTAAAGTTTACATAATGTAAAGGTGAGAGAGATTGGCCGGTATGAGTTTAGGGTGTCTAGGGATTGATCGACTTTTTTGATAGGAATCGTTATCCACAGTGATGGGAATTTTTGGGAAGACCAAATGTTATTGAACAGATGTAGTATTTTCTCGTATGTATTTTGGTGAAGGTTTTTTAAAAAGATAGAGGGAATATTATCGTCAGAGCCTGCAGCTGAGCTTTTTGTGTAAAAATGGTTTCGTTCAGTTCTCGGAAATTGAAAGGTATGTTAATGGGATTACTAGTATTTTAAGTTTTTTTGTAGTATATAATATATAGTAGGATTATTTGATTTATTAAGAAAGTTTTGGGAAAGCATATCACTGATTTGTTGGTCATCTGTAATTCTTTTGTCCTAAATGGTGAGAGCTGGAATTTTGTATGATGTGTAATGTTTTTTCATTCTCTTTATTTTTGACCAATTGTAGTTTTTAAAGATTGATATTTTTATGATAAACTGATTATGTATAATTGGAAGAGATATTTCCCAGTAATATTGACATTAAAAATAAAAGACAACGATTCATTTTACACTTTAGTTTAATAGTACATTAATTATACATATTTATATTAAAACTGTTTTAGTTGTATGTTGTTATAATATATGTTATAATATATTGCTTTTATTTATTTTTAGAACGGAGTTTTATCAGCTCTTCCATATTTAGCCATGTGGTTATTCTCTATTTTCATCAGCCATGTAGCCGATTTTATGCTAACTAAACCTTATTTCTCTCACACTCTCGTCAGAAAAATCATCAACGGAATTGGTAAGTTAATAGTATCATTTTTGTTAAAATGTGGTGTAAATCTGTTGTAACGCTATAACTATTGCAGTGTTTATATGGTCTGTGGACCACTTACACCTTTATAAGTCTATTTGGAGCAGTTAAATGAAGGGGAAAGTGGGGCTCCTTCAGACATAAAAATTTGAACTGTCATATCCTTCTAAATACCTCACCAAATAAATAAAGAAAATAATTATAAAATACATTGTTTTACCCAATTTTCACTGTATATATGCTTTTAATATTAAACCCTATACTTGTTTAAAAAAAATTAAAACCACTTTTTTAAAAACGTCTGAAGAGGACCCACCTTCAGACGGGGAATAAGGCAGCTTCAGACACAATTGAAAAAATGACAACGACAACCCCATATAAATGTTTTAGAAATTATTTATTACAATATTTAAAACTATCTTATGGTACTTAATCAAACCCCTAATCATATTGAAATTTTCCAATGAAACTGAAAAAGACAATAACGATTTCTGTCGCTTTGTACCCTGCTCAGAAGGAGTTGGCAAAAGGGCTACAATTTCTAATAAAGAAGCACTAAAGATATCTGGTACGACGGGGTAAAAAAATTTATAATTTACTTTAGATGACATTCTCAAAAATGAAATTTCAACATCCCTATCATCATATTTACCAATGATTGTCCGTTCTGCTTTTTCCCTTTTCTTTTAATTTTTTGGAGCTAGTATTGAGTTTCGATTTTAGATATCCTCGTATCTTTTCAGGACTTAAATAACAGTTAGTTTGTTAAGAGGTCATACGCGTACAGTTTTGGCAGCTTGATGTTGATGGAGTGTCTATTGGTTGCTAAAAGTTTTCGCTTGAAATTTGGGGAGATGAAGGTAGTTTTTCAGATTCTAAAGTTGGTAAACTTCCAGCAAGTTGGCATGTTATAGGTTCATCAGGAAAAGTTTTGTCTAAGGGATTGGGTCTCTCACTGACCAAATTGGAAGCAAACATATCGTCGGTGAAAATTTGCCTGTCAACAGGAAATATTCTTGTTTTTTTTTTAAGAATTTATAATGCTCTGTGGTAACATGGCACGACCATGTCCTATTCCAATACATGCGGCCACGTGATAGATTCCAAAACGTTGGCCTGAGTTAGACTTCAATCATGAATCAATTTCAGCATTATAATATGTTTTAAAATGTTTCATTAATCCCACATCCAGTGGTTGCATCATGTGAGTACTTCTTCTTCTTCAAGTTCCACTCCTATTGGAGATTGGAAATCATTCTGGCAATTATAATTTTATTGGTTACTCGCCTGAATAGTTCAATTGAAGCTGCATCCAAACCATTCACGGATATTGCTTAGCCACGAGATTTTACGTCTTCCTACGCTTCTTCTACCTTTGATTTTACCCTGCATTATATTCCTTAGTAGTTCGTACTTTTCACCTCTCATTATGTGCCCCAAGTATTCCAATTTCCTGATTTTTATGGAATTTAAAACTTCGCATTGTTTTCCTAGTTGTTTGAGAACTTGTTCGTTTGTTTTGCGATCCATCCATGATATTTTCAAAATACGTCGGTAACACCACATTTCGAATGCTTCTAGGTTTTTAATGTTGGATTTTTTAAGTGTCCAAGCTTTAACTCCATACAAAAGGGTAGAGAAAATATAACATCGAAGCATTCTTATCCGGAGCGATATATTGATATCGCGATTACAAAAAAGTTTTCTCATTCTATTAAAAGTTGACCGCGCAATTTCAATGCGGCATCTTATTTCTTTTGTCTGATCAGTATCTTCTGTGATCCATGCTCCAAGGTATTTGTACGAAGATATTTGTTTAATTTCTGTATTATCTAGTACTAGCTTAACTTTGATGTTTTGTGCTTTTGTAAATACCATGAATTTGGTTTTCTTCAAATTGATTTTTAGTCCATAATCGTTGCAATATATATTTAGTTGTTCATCAAGTTGTTGCAGTTCTTCTATTCAGTGTTCCTGCCAGAAGGACGGTGTCGTCAGCATATTTTATGTTATTAAGTGGTTCACCGTTTATTATAAGGCCCTCACTGATCTCGGCAAGCGCTAATTTTGAGATGGCTTCACTGTATAAATTGAATAACAAGGGTGATAAAATACACCCTTGGCGGACCCCACGGCGAATCTGGATATCCTTGGTCAGTTCGTTTTCAACTTTCACTTTTGCTGTTTGATTCCAATAGAGGTTACATAGATTTTAATGTCTCTACTGTATATGTTTTTATTTAATAAAATTTCTTTAAGTCGATTATGCTGCTCTGTCAAATGACTTCTCAAAATCAATGAAACAGGCATATACTTCCTGATTAATATTTAAGCATCTCTGCGAAAGAACCCTTAATGCAAACAGTGCATCTCGTGTTCCCAGTCCTTTCCTAAATCCCATTTGTGTATTATTTATGCCTTCATCTAATTTCTTATGTATTCTATTGTGAATTACTTTTAAAAACAATTTCAAAACATGACTCATTAAGGCTATGGTGCGATGTTCATTGCACTCCTTTGCATTGGCTTTTTTGGGAAGCAGTATGAATGTTGATTGGAGCCATTCTTTAGGTATTATACCTGTTCTATATATGGTATTGAATAGATCCAAAAGAATTTGAATTACCCCCAGAGTTCATACAAGGTAAGAGACCAGTTGGATCTAGTATGTTTGCGTTTAGACCAGATTGTACATTGGTATCTTTTATACCGAAAAAAAAATAAGAATGTTTTGCTCATATCTTCTTTACACGATTATTATGATATAAATTCAGTTAGTAATAACCCAAAAATTAGAGAGTGGTTTAATTTAACAAAGTGCGGAGTGGACGTTGTGGACCAGTATTACACCAGTAATTATCAGTAATACAAGAAGATGGTCACTCGTGATATTTTATAGTATGCTGAATGTTGCAGGGATAAATAGCCTTTCAATATATTCTGCAAATAATCCAAATTTAAAAATTAAACGTAAAAATTTCCTTTTACAACTTTTCCATTCATTAGTATATGACCAAGAGAAAGTACGTGCGACTTATAAAATCTTCCGAAAACTCTAACAGTGGGACTACAAGAACTTTGCGGTACAGAAGAAGAAGCTGTTCCGGTACAACCGACGGCTAACAAAAGGGGACGTTGCAGTATTTGTAATTCTAAGAAAAATCGACCAACAAAATATTTTTGTATTTTCTGCAAAAAGTATCTGTGCTTAGAACATGCCAGTATTATTTGTAATAATTGTTGCCAAGAACAGTAGGTTATACGAAATGTTTTTACCTATACGTGTTTTCATTAATCTTTGTGAATCACATGTATAGGTTTAAGTTTTTTTTATATAACTTTAGTAACATAAAACGGTTTTACAACTAGCGAAAGTAGTTTTTTGTTATCGGACTCTCAGTCCGGGCGCGTCTACTAAAGTTATCAAATTTGACGCTTCTACTGTAGGGTTAATGTTCAACACCTACCAACAGGTAATAAACCGATTATAGTACTGCAATTGTTTCGCTATTTTAACTAATACATGTTCCTTTGATATTAGACACTAATTTATACTTTTAATTAATACTAACTATTTACTAACTTGTTTCTACTTAACGCTTTTAGGACAGTACGGACCAGCCATAGCTCTAGTTGCTGTTTCCTTCACTGGATGTGATAAATGGTTAACGGTAGCCATTTTGACCATTGGGGTTGGTTTGAATGGTGGTATTTATTCTGGATTTAAAGTAAATCACTTGGATATTTCACCTCAATTTGCGGGTATCCTAATGTCCTTCACAAATTGTATGGCTAACCTTGCTGGATTATTAGCACCAATTTATGCTGGACATGTTGTGGTGGGAACGGTAAGATTATATTTTGTTAACTTTTTTCATATTTTAGTATTGAATTTTTATGAATTTTTTTTTTTGAATATAAAAACCTTTTTAAACTTATGTTTGAAGAATTTAAGTTCAGTTTTATATCATATTTGTTCATTATTGTGCTTTTATTGCTTAGTTACCAACTACATACATTGAGTTATTATTATTAAAAATATAACCATTTATTTAACATCCTCTCCCTCCTAAGTGCACTCACTGTTGAGGTTGGTGATCAATCTCTGATGTTTCGTAGCCAAGATTTTTTCTTTCGTCCTATGCCCCTTTTACCTTCAATCTTGCCTTGTAATATTACCTGGAGCTGTTCAAATTTCGTATGGCGCATTATGTGTCCTAGATATGACGTCTTTCTAATTTTGATAGTATTGACCAGATAAGGGTGTGTTTATCTTTAAGTAACTGTATAAGACGGTTTTGTCGGACCTTATCGAACGTCTTATTGTAATCAACAAGACAAACAAAGAGTGATTGGTTTACATCCATACATCTTTGCATGAGGACGTAAAATCCAAATAATGCCTCTCGTGTACCCATGACATTCCTAAATCCAAATTGGGTTTCAGTGATTTCTTGTTCCACTTTTCTGCAAATTCTGAAATGGATAATTTTTAAGAATATTTTTAGTGTGTGACTCATTAACCTAATTATACGGTGGTCATTACATTCCCTAGCATTGGTAATGGTAATTTAATAAATGTTGATTTGAGCCAATCTCTCGGAATAATACCCGTATTATATATAGTATTATAAGTCTACTAATACATTGATCTGATCTTCTGATATTAATTTAAATATTTCAATTGGAATTGTGTCAGACCCCGCAGTTTTATTAGATTTTGCCAGATTTATTGCATGTATTATTTCAACCTTAGTTATATTTGAACCTATATCATGTTCCTCGCAATCGTTCAAGCTATCTTGTTGTGTCCTGTCGTCCTCAAACAACTCTTGGACGTATTCTCTCCATCTGTTTAGTTTGCCTTTTATATCAGATATTATTTTACCATTCGTATCAACCAGGGTGTTACTATTGTTGGACCGTCTTATACCTGCTAATTCTTTAATTTTTTTGTGCAATTCAAAGCTATTAATTATTTCTCTGGAGTTCTTCTATCTCTAAACATTTGTCGTTGTACCACTTCTCTTTAGCTGCCCGTATTTTTATCCTGATCTCCTTTTGTGTGGCTTTGTATTCGTTCACATTTTTGTTTTTGTATGATCTTTTCTTGTCCATTAGTTGCCGGATCTCATATGTCATCTATAGAGTCTTAACTTCATCGATTTTGTGACTACTCAGCGTATCTTTAATTGGCATCATTAATGTGTTCTTAAATGTTTCCCATTTTTCGTTGGAATCTTCATTATCAATGATTATTGTTTTGCTTAATTCTTCGTTAATTTTCAACGTTAGTTCTCCTTTTATATTCGGGTGTTTTAACAGAGTGCTTATTTGATGTGTCTTTTGTTGACTTTTTATTTTCTTTAAGTGGATTAAAAGGAAAGAATATATTTGTCGCTATTATTTCAAACTCCTCAGAATTCCGTCAGTCTTTCCCCTCTTTCATTCTTTATTCCTAGTCCGAATTCACCAATATTGTCTTGGAATTTACCTTTTTATTTCATTTTCATCTTTGTCTGCAGTGGAAGCGTACACCTGTATGATATTAAGAGTTCTATGTGCTGTTTGGGCTGTGATCATTAACACTCTATCCGATATAGGAACAAAACAAGTTACAGCCTGGCAAAAATTGCGATCAACCACTATCGCGACGCCATTACAGTGGTGAATATCTCATTTCCTGGGTATTATATTTTGACACCGTCGACTGTCAACACCGTGACAGTATATTATTTATACATTTATTTTAATCCAACTTTTTTTATTTTAGCCTAGTATTGCGAAATGGAGAACCGTGTTCATAACCGCCGCCAGTGTCTATGCAGGTTGCTGTACTTTTTATGTATTCTTCGCTTCTGGACAACGTCAACCCTGGGATCAACCACCAGAAGAACCTCAAAGAAAAAAAGCAAACGAAGAACCCGAAGTAGTGACAACTCGTGCTTAATTTATACTTTAATAATTAATATACTTGAAAATATTGTGATCTTATGTTAAAGTTAAAAGTAAAAATTATGGATAAGTTTTATGAGACTAGATAACATATTAAATTTTCATAAAACCATTGTAAACAATCAAGTTTGTAAACAATCAATTACGTTTCAAGTAAGATACTTTTTTTTCATTATTCAATTTAAAAAAAAAATCGTCTGTCTTGATAATATTAAAATAATCAAAGCGACTTAAAATTTTCAATGTCAGTGAGTTTCAAAAAGGTTCTAAAAATTTGCTTGTTTTTTATGAGCAAATCATCACTATTTCTACAGTATTATATTTATTTAGGCAAAAAATATTTAATTAAATAGTATTCATTTTCATTTGAAGATCCCGGCCTTATAAAACTAATCTTACTAAATTGGTTTCTTAAGTAAAATAATAGATTATTACCGAAAGTATTTTCAGAATTTTTAAAGAATATTGAGGATTGTTCATATTTCAGCTTAAATTGGAATTAACTATCAAATGTATTGCAAATATCTCAAATAAATTTTTTAAAATAGTAGTTATTAGTTCAGTTAAGTATTAAGATAACTGCTATATGAACAAACCCTAGACATAATTGTAAATATTGTAAAAGCCTACAAAATGTGCCTCAACATTTTCGACAGTGTTTAATTAAAAGTACGGGTTATTTACTGAAATAAGAAAGATATAATAAAGTATTATGTATTTTATATAATATTGATTAGTGACGAGATTAGAAATAGGTTAAGTTATTTACCTCTATTCGAAAAACGTTGTTTTTGATTGTGTAAATAACAACGTTTTCTGACGCGAGGAAAATTTGTTGTACATTACATTATCGAGAATAAAATTTTTTCTTAACACATTTTACTACTTTTTTTACTTTTTTTTTACATCCACCAAAAGGTTATTAGCGACGGAACAAAATATAAATAACAAAGTTAAACACCTACAGATTGTACAAAATGTTTATGGATCTAAGATAATTCACTACATTGTTACAGGAACAGTTTTAACCTAGAGCCTGTGGCAGAGCGTGTGGGATCTTGTAGCGCTGTCTTTCTTGGTCATATTTACTACAAATTGTTAAAAAGTGTTCAACTTAATCGCACATTACACTGATCACATATAAGTGGATTTTTTTTGTGAACAGGTAGGAGTGCGTTAATCTGGTATGTCCTAGACGTAAACGCGCAACCGCAATTTGATCTCGTCTATTGCGCGACGATGGAAACTACTAAGACACATTATTTTTGATTTTATTTAGATTGGAATTAGTTTGAGACCACTCATTTCGCCACAAACACCACACTTTATTTTTAAAATAAGCTTTAAGTTACTGGAAATGCACTTGTCTATCGGCTCCGATAAATCACTTAAAATTGCCTCTCGTGTAGTTCTGTCAGTTTCTCCATTTCCTGTTATTCCGACGTGTGAGGGAACCCATAAGAATTGGACGCTTCTTCCATGTTCTTGAGTTTGGAAATGCTGGTCTTTTAGCAACTTTTCAAAAGGATGTTTCGAAAAAATGTGTTTTTATGAGTTTAGAGAGCTAAGGGAATCTGTTATGATCAGGGCATCAGTGAGTTTGGGCTCGTTAAGAAGTTTTACAGCACGTTATATGGCGTAGAGTTCAGCTGAATATGTACTACATGCTGGGGGTAAACGGAAAAGAAGATTGTTTTCTGTAAAAATTTGAGTGAAATTTTTTAAATTGTATAACTGATTGGTCTTTAAGTTTGTCTCCTGTAGACAAATAATCATCATTATTCAGCCAATCGCGTCCACTGATGGACATACGCCTTCCTCAGTTCTTTCCAGTGTTCTCTACACTGGGCCGCTTGTAGCCAGTTTCCCGCTAAACGTTTTATATCATTGGTCCATCTAGTCGGTGGTCGTCCTCGGCTTCATTTATAGTTTCTGGGCCTCCATTCCATAATACGTCTTGTCCACCATCCATCTTGCGTTCTGGCTAAGTGCCCTGCCCAGTTCTACTTAAGCGTCGTGGTTCTTTCGGTGACGTTTTGAACTCCTGATCTTTGCCTGATTTGTTGGTTTGTTATGTGGTTTCGAAGGCTCACGTTCAGCATTGCACGTTCCATGGCTCGTTGTGTAAATCTGAGTTTATACAGTTTGTAACAAATAATATCTGGAGAATATTCAGATAAAAGAAGCTGTAGCATAGGAAGACGATGAAAAATTCCATCAATGTTCCATTGAAGTATCGAGTTGAATGTTGTTAACAAATTCGGAGTTAGATGATACTGAACAATTGTCTACAGAATAGTAAGTCAGTAATCTATGTCAGAAATCTCTTTCTCTAAATGGTTGTGTAGTCTTTTGAAGTTTTGTAAACTTGCTTTTTGTAGATATATCATTTGCATATTGATAGCTGCTTTGTAAAAGATGGAGTAGCCCAGCCATATCAGTTGTAAATTCTTTAACGACGCTATTAGTATCGGAGGGCCTTGTACATTATCAATCAGTAAGGACAACTGTTGGTAATTTAAAACGAATGGTGGGGTATGATTATCAATGATATTTTCAAGAGTTTCTTGTGTAGATGAGACTTTAGATGAGCGCGTTTTTTTTTTGTTTAGAGGGTTTGGGTTTTGCAAACAGATTTTCTGATGAAATTGTTGAGTCTAAAGGAGGCGTGTCGATCTCACCAATACTGCGTTTTATGAAAGAACTTGCGTTTTCGCAATTACTATTAGAGTTTTCACTAAGATGCTGTGGCTTTATTACATTTGGAAGTACTGGAGCAAACTCATTGGTAGTGGCAGAAGTCAAGCTTGAAGTTTTACTTGTAGATTGGTTGAAATTGTTGTTTCAGAAAATTGTGGTGATGTATCAGTTTTATTAGAATTTTCTGCAGTTGTATTTAATGGAAAAGGAGCTGATAGATTGGAGGATATTGCTTCCGAAGTTTGTGAAAACGGTATTGCCGCTGAATGAGGTTGATTGAAAGTGTTGTTATAAGTAGGAGTATTAAGGTACGATTCCGAACACGACCGCAAACTTCAAACTGCAGACCGCAGCGACAGACCTACTGGTTCATATGGTTTCTTATGAGCTTTATGTCGAGTAGAGCAGCACTGTCGCCACCGCAAGCAGAACGTCGCCACCGCAAACCGCAGGACTGCACCAGAACCAGTAGTGTCGCCGACCGCAGAGTGACAACACGTATTTTTGCTGTTTCTGAATATATCTTCGTTAGCCATTAGATGATTTGTAATGAGTATTGAATAACTTCCTTCAAATTATCTATTTTTAAATAGAGACCTAGTCGGTTTCCTTTTTCTTTTATAATGCAAAAGTAAAAGATCGTCGTCATCTTCTTCCATCAAAAGATATAACATTAATTCATCGTTGTTCATTGCGTCTGACATCCTACTTATACGACTTTTAATATTATACTATTATAAATTCTCATCGTATAATGCTGTTGTCGCTGTTTTGTAGATACAGTGCAGTTCTGCTCGGAATTGGTCTGACTGCAGACGACACTGTCGCTGTAGTCTCCGGTTTGTGGTCTGCAGTCTGTAGCCACTTTCGGAATTTAACCTTTAGTAATTTCTTTGTCAGGTAGATTTGTAGGTAAAGGTGAAATGCTCGGATTTGATAATGGATAACTTGATGACTGCTAGGTGTTTGGTACCTTGTGTACTATACTTGTTGAAGCTGTTTGATTTGGTACTTCATTGTTTGACTCAATATGAGTTGATTCCGTTACTAAACTGTTATTACATTGGGATGATATGTGTCCTGTATTTTTGCAAATAAAGCAGTTGAGTATACCTTGTAACAAAAATATGCAATAAGGTGTTTGGTCGAAATTTATTAGAATAGAATCTGGAATGAGTGATGTTATAGGGTTTATATAAACTTCCAGTAAATTTGCTGTTGTATCCATGCATTTTGTCTTTTTTGGGGAAATGAACATGTTAAATTTTCTGGCCGTTATATTAAATTGGTGCAGCATACGTTGTAAATCATCTTCACTTTGAGACAGTATTATTGCGTCGTTTGCAGAATATTTTAAGTTGTTTTTCTCCCTTTTGGTATTCTTTTTTAGGTTTTACTTTTTTTTTAATATTTTATCCATAATCAGGTTAAACAATAGAGGGACTCAGGGAATATCGCATTGCTAACTTCAATAGTGTATGTTAGTTTTTCTTCTACTATTACTTTTATTGTGTTTTTTGGTAGATATTTTCGATCGTTATGATTATTCTTAGAGGTATCTCTCTTACGTATAGTAAGTGTTAAATTTCATTCAGTTTATTTGTTATCAGTTATCACCTTGGTTGTTAATTTTAGTGTTGTGTTTAATAAATTAATTCCTCTGTAATTTTCCGGGTCCGATTTGTCTCCCTTTTTAAAGAGAGGTATCAGAATGCTTGATCTCCATTCTTGAGGAATTCTGTTTTGTTCTATTATTTTTTGGATTAGTTTTATTAGTTGTTTGGTTAGATCTGGTCCTCCGTACTTTAGAAGTTCGTTTGGCATTCTGTCCTCTCCTGGTAATTTTAAATTTTTTAATTTCGTTTGTCGTCACCTCTGGTGTTGGTGGTTCATTATCGTCACCGTTAGCAAACAGTAATCGAAAGTAGTCTACCGATGTTTTCTTCTGAATTTGTTTTGTTTTTATTAGATCGTTCATCTCTTTTCTTTGTCTTTTGATCATTCTCCATGTTCATTTTTGGGTTCCGTAGAAGTCGTGTTCCATCTGTTTTAAGAAACTTTGACAGTTTTCATTTTTTATTTGTCTAACTAAAGTATTTGTTTAATTTTTAATTCGATTATAGTGGTTGTATGTCTGTTGTGTTTGTTGAGTTGTGTATTGTAAAAAAGCTTTCTTCTTTTCTTCACATTTTGCCTTCACTTCCTCTCTAAACATTTGTGTTTTTTTTATATGTTAGTGTTGTAACGGGTAGCTCTTTCAGGACGACAGACTCAGTAAAACACAGGTTAAAATAAAAATATGTCTATTGATCTAATATATGTACAATATATATGAAAATAAAATAAAATAAATCCTGTGCCGTAGAAATTAACTCTGCGCTCCGTCTGGATCCCGTGATGAATGAATCCCCGGCGGACGCCTATAAAGAAAGAAAGAAAATAATTATTAATAACAAATAAAATAGGTGTAGTCAATCGCACTCAGACGTATATTCGCTTCCGCTTCAAACCAGCGGGAGCTGCGAACACACTCGTCAACTACAAAATCGCTTATGCAGGTCCGCGATAAAGTTCAAGACACGATATCGGTAGACTTTGCTTAATTATGGACGGAGCATGAACTTCAAAGCAGAACTACCTCCGTCCGGGTGGGCTCGCCAGTTCAGGACACTGGCGAAGAGAGGAGCCTAAGGCGCTAAGCTAAAGACTGACTAAATGCCGCTATTCATATGCCTTAAATAGTTGCTCTGAACCCCACTCACATCGTGCTAAGGAGGTGGAAGCGCCAACGCTGACACTCCTACGGTTCAAGCTGTTGAACGGTGATGACATCGTTACACCCCCTTCTCTTTGGAAAAAAAAAAAAGTAGCATACCCTTTTTTTTTGTATATGGCGTCTACAGCCTTGTAATGCCATTTATCCCTCTTGGAATCTTTATTACGATCTTCTTCCTGTTGTTGCAGTACAATCTGTATCTTTTGGTCCCCCTCTCTATTAGGTGTTGTGGGACGATCTCTACAAGATCGGCGTGTCTCCCGGGTTCTGGTTCGCCTGGAGTGGATGCCGACTGTGCTTCAGGTCCGGTTATCGTATCGGGTACGCTTTTCTTCTTCGGTGGTGTTGGTGGTGTCCCAAACAGTTCGTGGAATCTTTTCAACATTCTCTCTGCGTCTTT